CCCACAAGCACAGTAGACCTTCGTGGAACACCCATCATATGGTCCGTCAGTGCTGTCAAGTCCCCAGTACAGCCTCTGTGTTTTCCAGTGTTAGGTGACCCTGTGAAAGGATCCATTCAACCCCCAAATGGATCTCAACCCACAGGATCTCAAGTCAGAATTGCAGCTAAAGAGATCCCCATGTTTCTGGGCTCTTGGTCCCAGCTTCTTTTTGTTAGTGGTAGTGGTGGTTTTTGTTTTGTTTTGGTTTTTTGCTTTTATTTTGGTTTTTCGATACAGGGTTTCTCTGTGTAGCTTTGGAGCCTGTCCTGGAACTTACTTTGTAGATCAGGCTGGCCTCAAACTCACAGAGCTCTGCCTGCCTCTGCCTCCTGAGTGCTGGGATTAAAGGTGTGAGCCACCACTGCCCGGCTTGGTCCTAGCCTCTACATTCCTTCCTCCTCCTCCTCTCCTCTCATGTGGCACATGTGAGTATGTACGGATGCATCCCCTGGAGCACTCACATGGAGAGGCCAAAGGGTGACGTCAGATCTCCTGAAGCTGTAGTTACTGGTGATGGTGAGCAGCCTGACAGCTGGGAACTGAACTCTAGTCTACTTTAAAAGTAGCCAAGAGTTCTTAACTACTGGCCCTCTCTCCAGCCTTCTCCACCTTATGTTTTGAGACAGGGTCTCTCACTGAACCTTGAGTTCACTTACCACTTAGACTAGACAGACTGGCCAGTGAGCTCCCAGGATCGACCCGTTTCTGCCCACCACCACCACCACCCCTTCAGGACTAGAATTACAGGCATATGCTGCCACACAAAACTTTTTAAATGGGTGCTGTCAATCAAATTCAGGTCCTTCCTTTACCCACTAAGTCATCTCCCAACCCTCCCCTTCTTTTCCCTGAGAAAAAGCTCACAAATGCTTAGACCTGCTTGCTGTCCAAAGAAAGTTGGAATACGTTTTCAAACTGGATCATGTCCAGTCCTTCAGGTTGCAAATTTCTGCAGCTTTGTCCAATATAATGTTCTTTTAAAACCCTGTGGGTTTTCTGTGACTCTAACTCAGATCCAAGTGTGCACTAAACACCACACCCACGGTTAATTTCAAGACTCTATTCCCGATGCTGTGGGCACCTCTAATACTCTCAGAAGCCCTTCTCTGGAGCTGAAAGGTTCTGCCAAACACCACTGGAGGCCCAACAGCCACACCTTGATTTCATATTTCCTTTAGGCCGTTCTCTTACTTTAGGAGTCCATTCCCTCCCAGACAGACAAAAAAATGAGGACCGGTTTTACTTTCCCAAGCACAAACTTAGCAGGATCTACTTAACTGGCCCCTCCCTCCGCTACAATAGTCACACCAGATCCATAGGCTGCAGAAAGAGAGAATCATTGGGCCTGGCTTGGGCTTTTGAAACTTTGAAATCCATCCCCAGTGACACACTTCCTCCTTCTAGTCCTCAAGTAATGCAACCCCCTGATGACAAAGCGCATTCAAGTACATGAGCCTGTGGGGGCCATTCTTATTCAAACCAACACACCTTAAATACAAGGTTTTCTTGGTTTGTTTGTTGTTTTAGAAAAAAAAGGGGGGAACTAGATGAGAGATGTGTTTTCATCCCAGATTTGGAATAAGAAACTTCCTTCCAACTGCTTCTGGGGAGTTGGCAGGATGATCACACAGAAGAGAGATTGCCCAGAGAGAGGGGAAGTGGGATAGGCAAATCCAGTCCCTCAATAACCCACTCATGAGGTGGAGCCCCTGTGTCTGGTTTACCTTCAACCAGGCTCCACCTCTTAAAGGCACCACCAGCTTCATACAGTTACACTGGGGACCAAATTTGTGGCATGAGGGTGTGGGAGCTGACACACGTCTGAACCACAGCAGGCGTATCTCCTGTCTTCTAAGCCTCTAAGTCACCACAGCCAATGTTCTTACCAACTGTGCAGCCACTACATAGCACAAACATTCTTGTTCCGAGTGTCATGTAGTTCCCTTAGTAAGAAAGCTTGGGACCATACAGGGCAGCACCAGGACAGTCAGACACTCCATGTGGACACCAGGAGAGAATGTTCCAGCAAGTCACGAAGAAGCTACAAGGCTTCCTAATATTCGTGTGCAGAAATCTCTTAGCATCGCTTCTGCATGATCTGTTGACTGAAGTATTCAGAATCGGCGGAGAGTCCAGAAGAGGATGCAGAGGGCTGGGGTGGTGCACACCTGTAATCTCAGCACTTGGGAGGTCGGGACAGGAGGTCAGGATACCAAGGTCATCCTCAGCTATATAGCAGGTTTGAGGCAGACAAAGAGATCCCCTCCCCCTTCCTTCTTTTTTTTTTTTTCCTGTGTAGTCCTGGCAATTATGAACACAGCATAACAGGTTGGGACTGTGTGTGTCAGATCCCTAGTCCTGAGGCAAAGCAGGTGATGGACAGGGGCAGATGGGAATCAGAGACCTGTAGACGTGACTGGTATTGAAAGTTTTATTGAGGGGGAGGTAAGGAAATAAGGTAAAGAGACGCAGAGACAGAGAGAGGACAGAAGAGAAGAGGGAGACAGGAAAAGTCCTGTCTGCCCCTGCAGAGGAGCAGTGGAAAGAGAGAGCTGAAGTGTGTGGGTTATTTTCATTTAAAGGGCCAGGGTGCATACACCTGGCATAAGCAGGTGAGTGAGAAGCGTGGCCAGGTTTGCCTGGATTACAACCCTGGCTGTCCTAGAACTCTCTCTCTAGACCTCAAAGATCCACCTGCCTCTGGCTCCGGAGCACTGGGACTTGTGTACCACCACTGCCTGGCTCTTTCTTTCTTTTTTTTTAATTATTTATTTTATGCACATTGGTGTTTTTCCTGCATGAATGTCCTTATGAGGGTATTGGATGCCCTGGAACAGGAGTTACAGACAGTTATGAGCTGCCATGTGGGTGCTGGGAATTGAACCCGGGTCCTTTGGAAGAGCAGTCAGTGCTCTTAACCACTGAGCCCCCTGGCTCCAGGCCCCTGGCTCTTTCTTTTTTAAACAGGGCCTCACTATGCTCAGATTTCATTTCTTAATGAAAGAATACATAAGAATTTGTATCTATGTTTTAGAATCAACATGGACCGATCTGGGGTAATTTGTTGTTTTGAGAGATTTATTCATCCATCCATCCATTCCCTCATTCATCCATCCATCCATTCATTCATATTTTGAGACAGGGTCTTGTGTATTCCAGACTGGCCTCAAGCTCTCTTTACTTAGGCAAAGATGGCCTTGAACTTCTGATCCTCCTGCCTCCAACTCCTGGGATTACAGACATGTACCACCACACCTGGTTTATGGATGCTGAATATTAACCCCTGGGTTTCATGTATGTTGCACCCACTAGGCTACACCCCCAGCCTCCATTCAATTGTAGGCTGAATCACCTGGAATCACACATGCTTTTGTGGTCATACATACACAAAAAGCATGTCACCTGGGTGCTGTCTGAGCTAGGTGACTCTGTGGTCAGTTCTCCACGTGGCCTGCTCATACTTCCTCACCCAGGAACTCATTTCCAAGAAAGCAATTGCCAACACAAAAGCAGAGCTTAGGCATCCATATTCATCACACACACTAATGGCTAAGTGGCCAAAGCTTGTCACACAGCCACACCCAGAACTGCCGTAGATGATGGAGGCTTGATTCATTGGGGGCCGCTAATGTGGCAATCTATCACCCATGAGCAACTCCGGCTCATCAGTGCTCACCTCCTGCTCTGACCTATTCAGGAGGAAGGGGATGGATGACTCCGAGGAGAAAGTGCCCTCCAAACACGACAGGACCGGAGCACATTTAAATTCAGAGAGACTGTGGCAGGATGCACAGGTTCAAGACAGAAAGGCAGGAAGTTGTCATGGCTCCCACCCCTAACCAAGAAGCCATCTGCAGCTGACACTGCTTAAAAGGGAAATTTTATTTTTCTTCAGTGGAGCCTCACTGAGTATATTAACCACTTCCATGGTAGCCCCATGCCCAGCATTAGATGGTCAACACACACACACAAAAAAAAACTTCAATGGTATTTTTATAGATTCAGATTGCTTTGGGCCTTTTTTGTCTTACTGGTCTTTTGCTTGTATATTTTGGTTTCTGTTTTTATAGAGATCTGTGTGGGGGTGGGGAGGTATGAGTTTCTTGGTCTTTTTCTTTTGCAGTTATTTGTTTTGTTTGCTTGTTTGTTTTTTAAGAAAGAGAGAGAGCATGGGGTTGGGTGGGTGGGCAGAAGAGGAGGATGTGGGAGGAGAAAAGCATGTTACAATATATTTTCATGGGGAAAAATTTCAAAAAGGTTTGTTAGCTGGGCTCAGTGGTATACACCTCTAGTCCCAGCACTCAAGAGACTGAGGCAGGGGACTGTAAGTTCCAGACCATCCTGGGCACTGCTTCCTCTTAACCTCTGACTTGTCTCCTAAAAATTAATCTGGTTTTCTGTTTGTTTGTTTTGGGTTTTTTTGTTTGGTTTGGTTTGGTTATATTCTCTAACCAAGTATGTGGTTCCTTAGGAAACCAACCCGACTTGAAATTAGGAAACACAGCAGAGAGTACATTGATTCCAGGAGTCTTTGAACTTCATAGATAAGTCAAATTTAAACAAATTTAAAAATAAACAGAATAAGAGTGTGGAGGGACACACCTTTTTTTTATTAGAAACAAGCTTGCTTCACATGTCAAGCCCAGCTCCCTCTCCTTCTCCCCCGCCGCTCTCCAGCCCCCCAACTCCCACCCAATCCCTACTCCACTCCCCAGGGAGGGTGAGGCCCTCCATGGGGGATCTCCAGAGTCTGTCATTTCATCCAGGACAAGGCCTAGGCCCTCTGTCATGTGTCCAGGCTGAGAGAGCATCCCTCCATGTGGAATGGATTCCCAAAGTCCATTCGGGTGCCAGGAATAAATACTGATCTACTACCCAAGGCCCCATAGATTGCTGAGGTCTCCTCACTGACACCCAAATTTAGGGGATCTGGATCAGTCCCATGCTGGCCTCTCAGCCATCAATCTGGGGTCCAAGAGCTCCCCTTTTTTCAGGTCAGCAGTCTCTGTGGGTTTCACCTGCCAAGTCTTGACCCCTTTGCTCATCACTCCTTCCTCTCTGCAACTGGGTTCTAGGAGTCCACTTCAGTGTTTCGCTGTGGTTTTCTGCCTCTGCTTCCATCAGCCACTGGATGAAGGCTCTAAGATAGCATATAAAGCAGTCGTCAATCTCATTATCAGGGAAGGGTGTTTAAGGTAACCTCTCCACTATTGCTTAGTTTGCCAGTTGGTGTCATCCTTGTAGATCTCTGGAAATATTACTAGTGCCAGATCTCTCTTCAAACCTATAATGACTCCCTCTATTATGGTATCTCTCATCCTGCTCTCTTCTATTCTTCCCCCAACTCAACCTTCCTGCTCCCCCATGTCCTCCTCTCCCCTCCTCTTCTCCCCCTCTTTTTCCCAGCTCCCTCTCCCCTCCCTCCATGCTCCCAATCATCCACTCAGGAGATCCTGTCCCATTCCCCTTCTCTGGGGTACCATGCATATCTCTCTTAGGGTCCTCCCTGTTTCCCAGACTCTCTGGAAGAGGGACTCTCCTTTAATCCAGGCAGAGAAGCTGGATCTCTGTGAGTTCAAGACCAGCCTGGTCTACAGAGAGAGTTCCAGGACAGCCAGGGCTACACAGAGAAACTCTGGCTCAAAAGAAACAAACAAATGAACGAACCAGAATGGACAGAGCCCATGTAAAGGTGAAAGGGAAGAAATGAATCACGAAGTTGCCCTCTGACCTCCATAGGCATGCTATGTCACAAGCACTCCCACACATGTGCACACACACAATAATGATGATAATAATAATATTTTTATTGAATGTCTAAAAATCAACAGAAAAGGACCGTCTGTTCCCCCAGTTTTATTTTGCCACATACATTAAAAACACACAGGGAGCAGGGTGGTGGTGGCACATGCCTTTAATCCCAGCATTCGGGAGGCAGAGGCAGGCAGATCTCTGTGAGTTCGAGGCTGGGCTGGACCGATAGCCTCCAAAACAATACAGAGAAACCCTGTCTCGAAAAACCAAAAAAAAAAAAAAAAAAAAAAACCACACAGGGAATCCACCATCAGCACATAAACAAAAAAATGGGAAGATATACTCTGAAGATTAAAGTATAGAAAAGGCAGGTATGTGACCTTGACTGACCCACACATACACACACACACACACACACACACACACAAACACACGAACGCACACCCCACCGCACAAGGCCTGCCTCACACAGATCCAGGGTGTTCTGTTTCTGGAGGCAAGCCCCTTCTGGCAGTTCTATGGATAGTGTTGTTCTCTGGGTTGTGAGCATATGAGCCCCATAAACTGCTTTTGACCCTACCAACTCAACGCTGTGTTCAGCCATCCCATTAGCCCTGGGATAGGAAATTTTCCCACATCAGCCAAGTGAAGATGAGGAGCTGCAAACACAGTGACAACCTGGCAGTGATGGCCAAATATCCCCATGCCATCTCCTACATGGGACAGTGAAACCATTCTAGGAAAACCTTGATGGCCCAGGCTAGGAGCACTGGGACACTGCAGAGTCAGTCCAGAGGCCTAAGAACTCCTCCCTCCCAGGCCTGGCTCCCCTCCAGAGTAACATTTGACAAGTCATTTCCTTTCTCAGTCTTCAGATCCAGGCTGTAAAGTGATAGGCAGTTCTGAGACCCCCAACACCCCGATAACATCTATAAAAACCATCTATATGATTATATTTATATGGCTGTAAATGCCCCTAGGTTGTTTTGATCTTGAGGAGTCTGTCACCCATGTGTCTCAAACTGGAGCTACAGGAGACAATGAAAGGAGAGGGGTCCAGGTGATTAACAGAAGACCCTCTTACCTTGACTCAAGTCCTTCCAGCTTTGGGTTTCTGACTTGTCTATCAGTAAATTGGAGTTTTACAGTCTCCTCCCCTTCCCCATCCATGATCCCTCCCCAGATCCTGGATTGTCTTCTTGAAGCCTTTGATCCCATCCAACTAGAGATGTTGGTCAAGCAGACACCGAGTTTCAAGCTCTCAGCAGGACACGCTCTCCTCCCCTTCCTGAAGGCAGAGTACCTGGGGACCCAGAAAGTAGGCCAGGTCCTGGAAACCTTCACAAAGTAGCACAGACAGGCCTCGGGTGGACCTGTAGAGTAGCATGCAGGGCCTCAGGCAGCCTCAGCTCTGACCCCTGCAGCCAACAGCCCTCTCTATAGTCAAATCCTGCCCCAGAATAAAGGAACCAAGCAGCTCCAGGCCTAAGCTCTGGGAGGAGGAAGTCCCAAACTAAAGCCACTGGACTCTGATAGGAAAGATTCCTGAACCTGACTCCAAGACCACTAAGCCAAAAGGAACAGACTACAGTCCAGGGACAGAATAGTTCACAGGTACAACAAGACAGGAAGGAAGCTGAGTGAATGAGAAAGAATAGCAATGGGGTGAGCAGCTGAGACCAGCGTATCCGGATCCTGAGAAATTCCCCTATGAACAGTAAAGCTGGGTGGGTCCATCTCTGAAGAGGGGTGGTCCTCGGGGTCCCTGTTCCTCAGTCCCCATGCCCTGGGGAGCTTTGCCAAAAGCACCCCAGGAGTTCGGTGGCTTACCAGAGGAATAGCCCCCACTCCTGTAGAATGCCCTGTCATTTCAAGCACTGAGGGGACTGAAATTGCATCTGCAGGCCCAGGGATGGCTTCCAACAGTGTCATTACAGTATTAAAACCTGCAGTGACGGTGCCAGAGCTGACTTCTGTGAAGAAATAGGAGAGTGAGCAGGAAGATGGCTGAGAGGGAGGGCTAGCCCACAAGACTTCCCAGCCAGAATTCAGAGACCAGGAGGTTCAAATCAAACTAGCCTTTTAAAAATATAAATAGAAGTACCAGCAAGACGGCTCAGTGGGTAAAGAAAGTGGCTTGTCAACAAGCCTGAGATCAATCCGCATGAACTACGTGGTAGGAAGAACCAACTCTGGAAATCTGGCCTCTGGCCTCCAAGTATGTGCCCTCAGCCATGCACATACACACATATGCGTGTATGTATATATGTATCCCTGTATATATCTACATATGTAAACAATTTTAAATTTCATTTCAAATAATAATAAACATAAGCAAATACATCATTAGCAATAGGTATTTAAGAAGAGCCTCTTGGTGACATCCAGTTGGTGGGGGGAAGGGGTATCCCTGAGGATCAAACACGGGGGCTCAACCTTTCCAGTTGTCATACACCCCCATTCTGAGAGCTCTCCCTTTTCTCGCGGCGCAAAGTGAAGTAGCTCAGCACTGAGGGTTTGGGTTCCATAATCCTGCAACTGGTCAGCTTGGCTACTTACCAACCAACCATGAAGTAAAAGCTGGGAGCAGCGGGACAGGATGAGTCTGTCACGATGGGCGTGGGCATGGAACGTGACCATGTATGCAATGAGCCCCCAGCACAAAGCTTGTTAGAAGGCAGCGCCCCTTCCCTTGTCTGAAGACCAAAGGGGACCATCTTGTTTCTCATGGAAGTGAGAACATTGTAGCAGGCTGGGCCAGGAAGTGCCCGCTCAAGAGCATGGTTCCCCCACCCCCACCCCTGTGCACCTGGAGGTGGGCAGGCGTGGGCAGCAGAGGCCGGGACCAGGCCGGTGCACCCCTGGCCCTGCTTCCAAAAGACTGCTCTAGCATGGAAAACAACCCACCAATTTCCTTTGCAGAAAGACCAGGCTCCACAGCCAAAACTTGTCACTGGAGGTGCCAGCCCAGAGGGAAAGGAGGGGGGAGCTAGCAGGCCTCCCCACAACGCCCTTCCGTTGTCCAGACTTGTGAAGGCTCTAGCAGAGAAAGGGTTACAGCCTTAAAAAGAAACCAAGTGTCTCCAGGTGTGAGAAGAAGGTTGCCCCATCCTGATTCCAGGGTCCTGAACTGTCTTTTCCCTGAGCAGGCCAGCCAGCCATAGTTCTGAGGGTACCCCTTCAGTAGAAGCAAGCCACCTACCCACACCCGGGCGCGCCCTCGCCCGCCACCCCACCCCCTCCATCCTTTTCCTCAGTCTCTGATTGGCTGAACCCCGAGGCCCTCCCCGTTCCCTCCCCCGTCCCCCCACCCCTGGTGAAAACTGCGGGCTTCGCGAACGGTGCAGCAACTGGAGGCGGTGGTGCATCCGGAGGAGGCTGCAGCTACCAGAGTCCAGGTGAGCGCAGGAGCCAGGAGGAATCTTTGCCCACAGGGACAGCCACGGCGCGAGGGTGCAAGCCCTCCCAGCTGCACCTTTGGGAAAGGATGCGAGGGCGCTCTTCTATGGGGACACGGGAACTGAGGAAGGAGCCTGCATCCCAGACTGGGCGGGAGTGAATGCAGGGTAGCAAGCTTTTGCTGCCCGGCACTTGTCAGAGACTGGGAGCCAGAGGAGAACAGTGAGGAAGGACACCGAGGACAACTTTTGGTCTGCCCTCCACCCAGAGGTCCCCAAGCTCAGATCTCTAGCTTGAGGGGCCGGGGGTAGTACAAATAGAAGGAGGAGGCAGGTGACCAGCTGGAGGGAGTCTGCCGGGTGACCTCGTGGCTCGCTGGGTGCGGGGCAACTCAGGTAAGGAAACCGCAGTGCTGCGGAAGGGGACTGGGTGGCAGGCGCGGAGGAGGGGAGCGCTAGAAAGGATGATAACGGGTGGTGAGGGGGAGGGGAACCTCAATTGGCAGAGGAGCATTGAAATACGGAAATGGCATCAGGGTGGGGTCAGCCAGGCAGGGCCTTGGGGAGAGGCCACAGAGTTTGGCTGGATGTGGGCTTCTGAGACTGGGGTACCAGGACACAAACTGCCTCTGCCTGCGCACTCTACCTCTCCATTTAGGCTTCTCCAGCCCCAGCCCCGATTTCCTTCCTCTAGGGTTCCCTCTTCCTCCCCTAGATCCCAAGCCCACACTCCCTCCTCCATAACCCAGCGTTCTCGGATCCAAACCCTGTGCCGGCTTGGGCGTGGTGGACTAGCCCTTAGGAGGTGGAGGCAGATGGATCGTGAGTTCAAGATCAACTTGTTCCAAATTCACCAGGACTTCTGAAGGAAACCTTGTCTCTAAAATAAATAAATATCCCCCCCCCCTTCTCCGCCACAAAGCCTTGGGATCCGGCTTTCCAAGCTGAGATGATTGTCACTGTCGCAGCCCTTCCTTTCCCCATGAACCTTAAACTGGCAGAGTGGCAGAGTGTGCACCCCGTGTGTGCAGCCTAGGTGGAGCCCGCGAACACTCTCTTGGGCAAGGACAGGCTAGTGTACCAGCTCAGTGTTGCCAATGTGTTGAGCAGGGGGCATTTGGGTGCTGGGGGGAAGAGGGGGTGCTGGTAGGGGCAGAAAACCTATGTCCACAAGCTGTGGACACTGGACTAGAAAACCACAGCCCCAGGGATCCTCGAGAGTTGGCCATTTGCAAGTGTCTCTGGCTTCTCACTCACATCCTGTGTCCTGTACCTCTCTGGCACCTTAGCTAGACACGTGCCTGACCTCATCCCTAGCCATTAAGCTGTCTGGATCACTTACTGTGGGGCATAGCTCCTGCTGCTTGTCGTTTTCTTAAACCCCATCACAAATCCTTTTTTTTTTTTCTCAAGACACGGTTTCTCTGTGTAACCACCCTGGCTGTCACGGAACATGCTCTGTAGACCAGGCTGGGCTTGAACTCACAGAGATCAGCCTGCCTCTGCCTCCCAAGCAAGCCTGGCCACAATCCTATTCTTATGTAAGGTTAAGAGAGTCTCGTGTACTCAGTAAATATCTTTTATCCAGCTCTCAGGAGTGAGGCAGGATAGAGTTGGAGGGCATCCTAAACTACAGTCTCAATGAAATAATAATAATAGGCTAGGTGGTGGTGCATACCTATAATCCCAGCGCTCAGGAGACTGGGGCAGTTTGGCTCCATAGTGAGACCCTATAAAAATAATAAATAAATAAACAAGTATTGAGTATCTATTATATGCAAGGGTTGATCTGGGCGTTAGAGATCTTCTTCTGAACTAGTCCTAGAGAAGAGAGTATTTTTATTTAATGAGTATGAAAGTGTTCATTTAGAAAGACTGAGTGAGTTTTGGAGACCGGTTGCACAGCAATATAACAGAGCCTGACCCTTTTGAAGCATGCATTTAGACCCTGTGGGTTGGTGGTGGTGCACACCTTTAATCCCAGCACTCAGGAGGCAGAGGCAGGTAGATCTCTGTGATTTCGAGGCCAACCTGTCTACAGAGCAAGTTCCAGGACAGGCAGGGCTATACTCTGTCACAAAAAAAAAGACAGTAAAAAGTTATGTGTAGTTTGCCAAATCAAAATTTTAAATGTAGGCAATCCTTTCCCCATGAGTCTTAAATCCCAGAGAAAAATGATGAAGTCACCCAGCAGGGAGGTACTCCAGAGACAGCACAAACATACAGCATCCCAGGACATGTGCTCCCTTCTCCTTCGCTTCCTCTGAGTGGCAAAGAGGCTCAGGCAATGCCACCTTCAAAGAGAAGGGGGTGAAGAGAGGGGCTTAGGTGTATATCATGCTCTCTGGGGCCAAACGCCCTGACAGTAAATTTGGACCGACTTGTCCCACCTTTTGGCTGATACCCAGCTTTCCACACCCCCAGAATCCAGGACAGAACCCTTGGCACCATGAACCCAATCATCGGCATCGCTGTCCTGCTTTCAGGTACTGGGCAAGGGGCAGGGCTGGCATTCCAGGGCATCTGGCTCCCCTCCCTCTTTGTCATAGACTCAGAGACACAGGTGGCCAGGAGGGCTCAACCTCACGGATCTGCCCGCTAGTGGTGGTCTTTGGCAAATTGGAAACTCCGTACAGGAACTAAGAACTCCCTTTGGTCTCCTGTTCTTGAAACATTGTTGGGACCCACAGGCTGAGTAGGCTAGAAATGAAGTTTCTAGTACCCCAGGGGCAAGTGCAAACACCACGTCCTCCCAGCCAGGCCCCAGTCTACTCTTCCTGCCCATGGGAGGCCCCTGCTCTGTGTCTCCCCCAATTCAGAGAAGGCACTGCTGTGCCAGTCTTGCAGATGTCCCAAGGGCAGAAGGTGACCAGCCTGACGGCCTGCCTGGTGGACCAGAACCTTCGTCTGGACTGTCGTCATGAGAATAACAGCCTCTTGACCATCCAACACGAGTTCAGCCTGACTCGAGAGAAAAAGAAGCATGTGCTGGCAGGCACCCTCGGGGTACCCGAGCACGCGTACCGCTCCAGGACCAGCCTCAAAAGCCAGCGCAACATCAAGGTCCTCACCTTAGCCAACTTTACCCACAAAGATGAGGGCATCTACACGTGTGAGCTGCAAGTCTCAGGCCAGAGCCCTCCCCTAATCTCCAATCAAAATGTCTCTGTGCTCAGAGGTGAGACTGGTCCCCAGAAAGATGCCAGCAGCTCTATTAGCCGGGCTGGAGGGAACAGGGGCCCAGTAGCCTTTCATAGTCCACTAACTGCTGTCTGATCCCCTGGGGGACCGCTACCCCTCTGTGTGAGAGGGGAAAGATCAAGGGCCAGACCCGAGGAGCTGTGGTAGAGGGTACATATTCAAGAGCTAACTGCCGGCAGGAAAGACCGTTCTGTTACACCATCAGGTAGAGCCAGCTAAGGCGTCAATCCTCTAGCCGCCTTGAAGGGCTAACACCTGGTGTTGGTTCTGCTGGCCCTCCTCCCCTTACCTCCTTCTCTCTCCACAGACAAGCTGGTGAAGTGTGATGGCATAAGCCTGCTGGTTCAGAACACCTCGTGGCTGCTGCTGCTCCTGATCTCACTCTCCCTCTTCCAAGCCATGGATTTCATTTCTCTGTGACTGGTTGGGTCCACAGAGAAACCTTAAGCCTCCAGGCCCAGTACAGAAGTCCTGCTTCTCTGGGTCAGCTAACTCCCTTCCCCGGTCCCTCAAATACCTCGGGGAGAAGCGGGGACCCTGTCCCTCCCTCCCAAGGAACCCCAGTGCTGCATGCCATTGCCACCCCCTCCGACACTTCACCCTCTCTGCACACCACTGGCTGCCATTTTATACTCTTCATTCCGGGGCTGCTTCTGTCCGTTTATTTAGAGTTTCTCCTTTCTTTTCTTTGAGAGTTTGTGACAAGGGAGGCCAGGATTAGGGACCTAGTGGAGCATTAACGGTGTATGATGGGTGGCCGGATACCAATCCCTGAGGGGATGGGGAGGGGTTACTGCTTGCCAACCAGGCCAGATGCCTGAAAGAGGCATGAAGGAGTTGGAGTGTGTCTGTGCCTGGTACAGTCATACCCTTGGTAAAAGTATCACCCAACGGGCAGGGAGGGGACCTCAAGATCTCAAGATATCAGGGCGATGCTTAGCCTTTGTGGCCCATCCAACGAGGATGAGAACTGAGTCTATACAAGATCATTCTCAGCTGCCACATACAATCCCCCTCCTATCGCTGAAGAAGCCCCTGGGGCTCTTGAGCCCGGGCACGTTCAGGAAAGCCCAGGTTCTGCCAGCGAACTTTGGGGGAAAGGAGGGGTAGGAGGTGAGGAAACATCACCCCTCCTGTCTATGAAAAGTGCGCCAGAGGAAGGCAACCCCTCCTCTGCTCCCAAGGAGCCAGAACTCGGTAGGATCAGTGCAGGAAGTAGGTCCTAGAGCCACCCTGCTGGCCTCAGCTTGCTAAGGGAGAGTCTTTGTTCTTTCCCTTACCCTTCTGTGCCAGCCCCTCTGGCTGTCCCTGATTCCCCAGACAACCAGAGCCTTGCAACCTGCCTCCTCTGGGACCTCCTAGGGTGGGAAGCAGGTGGTGGAGTGAGACCCTGTGTGAGCGCTTCTTGGAAGATAGCTTTTCCCAACGCCCACCTCCCCCCTGGCAGCTCTGCCTGTCCTGTCACGGTGTGTAATGCCACCACAGCTCACAGCATCTCACTGAGGAAAGCAAAAGCTGCACAATAAAACCAAGCCTCTGGAGTCTGCCCCGGTGTCTGTCTCTGCTTCGCTCTGCCATGGTCCCTGACCTGGATGGCTTGGCTGGGTGTTTCTATGTGCAGGAGGTCCAACAGGACTGTAGGGTGCCCCAGCCCTTCCTATCCCCTTGCCTCATACCTCCCACTCTCTGCAGACCCTCTCACGGGGCACGATACTGGACTTCTTTTGAGAGAGACTCTAATGTGAAATCTTCACTCAAATCAATGCGTGCTCTCTCTGCTGACTCATCGGCAACACATGGGCCCCACCAGGCAGCCCTGGCTCTGGAAGTGCCAGTGATTTTGTTCTGACAGGTGCACCCCACCTTTTCTTCCCAGCCCTAGTTCTGCAGAAGTGCAACCTTAAGTCCTGTCTGCTGAGAAGGCATGCATGCCCTTGAGCACTGCAGCAAGGACAATGCGAGGGCCAGGCATCAAGCCTTCAGTACAAAAGCTATCACCTTGGAAAAGACTGGGGCAGGCTTTCCCTCCAGAGTGGAAACATGGGATCCCATTCCTGGGTCCCTTCTCAAAAAGTAATGAGTGCAATGTGAATGGGTACCACAGGCCATCCTGGGTTTAGAGCCAGCTGGGGATCACAGGATGGTAATGGGTACCATTTGCAGTGAACTATGGAGACAGCCTGAAAGAGTCCCCCGCCCTACTTTGACAGGCAATGTGGGGGAGGAAGCTGAATCACTTGGTATTTAGCCTGGAAAGAATAATTATCTGAACATTTTTCTTAAACGTCGCAATCTAAATCAATGCCACTTGTTCCCAGTCTTCCTGTCCTTGCACTGGCTTCCCTTCTGACCATGCCTGAAGAAGGCAGGAGAAACCACCCCATGCAAGCTATAAGCCACTTGTCAGGGTTAGGCAAGCCTGAACTGTCCAGAGAAGGGATATTCCCAAGCCCCCGGCTCCCTGATCAGCACTTCCATGGAACTACAAAGTGTCATGCCAGAGAAGTCTGTAAGAAAACTTTGGCAGGAGAGAGGAGTGACTCAAATGCCAGGCAAGTTTGGGAAGGCCCGCCCTCAGAGCAGTATGAGGTCAATCGAGTTCAAAGTTTTTTCCTGAAAGGAATTGGGAGGCCAAGGAGGAAGCCCAAATGAGAAGCCAGTGTGAGACGCTGGCCCCTGGGTGATGCTCCTTGTGTGGCCTTTGTCTCACCTGGCACTCTTTCCCTGGAGAGCTTTGTGGCCACACTCTATTAGGGGCGTGAGGCTGCCCTCTGAAGTTACAGAGTTGCAGAATGATAGACTCTGTTAGGGGGGTGAGGCTGCCCTCTGAAGTTACAGAGTTGCAGAATGATAGACTCAGTCAAAAAAGCTGGAGGACCAGGGCAGGAGGGCAGAGGAGGATATCAGGGGGTAGGAGCCATGAAGCCTTACAATCTAAGCCAACCCGAGGCAATCATGACACAGACAGGAAAGCAGAATTTTAGCTCAAGAGCTTCAAATGCCAGTGTGTTCAGGCTGGGGAGATGGCTCAGTGGGTAAAATCACTTGCCTCCAAGTCTGGCGGCCCGATTTCAATCTCTGGAATCCACATTGGTGGGAAGGGAGACCCAACTACTAAAAGCTGTCCTCAGCTCTACACTAACCATGGCACACGTGTGTGCATGCCTGTTCGTGTTTGTATGCACACACTAAACTGTTTTTCAAAAAAAAATTAATGCCATCTTTGTACCCTACATCTGAATGGGATTACCCACTGAGACAAACTGTACAGACCATCATTGTTGCAGGCTCGCTGACGTGCAGAACTCCCTTGAGAAGGCCAAGGAGACTACCATGAGATGTGGGGACTTTGACTGGCCAACAGGGAAGCCATCATAACCTCGGGGACCTGTGACATGCAACTTCTTGCCTCTTGCACAAAGTCCAACTCCTGCCTGAGCTTGTAGCTTTTGTGTTAAGGGGCGGGGCTGGTACATCTTCCCGTACACACTCATGATAGAACATTAGGCTGAGTTCCTTCTGAGAGCTAGCATGGGCTAGAGACTCCCAGCCTTACTTCTGCTCGGTCCAAGAGTGCTCAAGGTAATGGTGGGACAGCTTTCCTCACCAAGGCCCAGAGCTCTTGGGCTCAGGAGATTATGTGGTTCGGAATCTTCCCCACCCTTGGAGAGAAAGCATCCCTTGCCGGGCAAATGAAAAGTTCATGGTCAGAGGAGATGGTTTAAGACCAATAGTAGAGGCCTATGGAGCCAAAGATGTCTCAACACTCAGGAGGACCTCGGTGGTTGGAGGATCTTTCTTTGCAGCCCTGGCTAGCCTAGAACTCTGTATGTAGACCAGGCTGGCCTCGAACTCACAGAGATCTGCCTGCTTCAACCTCCCAAATTCTGGGAGTAAGGGAGTATAACACCATGCTCTGAAAGTTAACAATTTAGTGTTGGGCCACATCCATGACTGTCATGGGATGCAAGTCCTCAGGTTGGATGCATCAGGATCTGGTCTAAACCTGCACTTGGCTCTTTCTTGCTGCTCTGTGGAGACACATTAGAGAACAGTAATTGAGACAATAAGTTGGGAAACCCAAGTGTAGAAGTTCAGACCTGCAATTCCAGTACTTGGGAGGCTGAAGGAAGTGAGGTGCCATGATTTCCAGGCCAGGATGGGCTACATAGTAAGCCTAGTCTGGACTATGGAGTAGGGCATTGTAGGCAGAAGTTTCTGTCCCTCCCAGTCCTGCAACTTTTCAGTCCCAAATAAGCACACAGAGGCTTATATTAATTATAAATTTTTGGCCCATGGCTCAGGCTTCTTAATGGACAGCTCTCTCTTAGTTATTAACCTGTTTCTGTTAATCTGTGTATCTTCACATGGCCTTGACTTACTGGTGATAGCAGGATCTCTTACTTCCTCAGTAGCTACATGGAGTCTCCTTGACACCGCCTGCTACCTTTCTCTATCCCTGTTTGTATTTCCCACCTGGCTAAATCCTGCCTGTCCACTGGCCAAAACATCTTTATTCAGCCAGGCGTTGGTGACACATGCCTTTAATCCCAGCACTTGGGAGGCAGAGGCAGACAGATCTCTGTGAGTTTGAGACCAGTCTGCTCTACAGAGTAGTTCCAGGACAGCCTCCAAAGCCACAGAGAAACCCTGTCTCAAAAACCAAAAAAAAAATCTTTATTCATCAGCCATTAAGAGAAACGTATATTCACAGCAAACAGGGCACTGTCTTGGGGAAAGTGGAATTGGAAGATATTACAATAGTCCAAAGAGAGAATGATAGCTTGGACAGAAGTTATAGAGATGAAAATAAAAAGAAGTGGTGACTTGGAGAGACATTTAGAGTTAAAGTGGAAGACTGGTGAAATCTAAATGAAGCCTATAAACTTTGCCAATATCAACATCCCAACTTTGAAGCCGGGTGGTGGTGGTGCATGCCTTTAATCCCAGCACTCAGGAGGCAGAGGCAGACAGATCTCTGTGAGTTTGAGACCAGTCTGCTCTACAGAGCTACACAGAGAAACCCTGTCTGGAAAAAAAAATCCCATCTTTGCTGTTATACTTGTTATATAAGCTGCTACCACTAGGAGAAACCAAGTCACAGGTATAAGACCTCCAACTTCCCCCCTCAAGAGTACAGACAGCATGCAAGCATTGGATCCCCTGAAACTGGAGTTACAGATGTTTGTGAGCTGCCATCTGGTGCTGGGAATTGAACCCAGGTCCTCCAGAAGAACAGCACTTGTCCTTAACCACTGAGCCATCTCTCCAGTCCTTCTTGTACTATTTTTATAATTTTATCTTTTCAGAGTTAGAGTAATCTCTTCTTTTCCACTATATTAATTTTTTAATTGCTACAAAGAGTTAATGAAAGAATACAGACACTCTTTAGCATAGTGGCTGGAGAGTGTGAAAAGTAAATTTCTGTCACTTGCTTGTAAGCCATCCTGTGTATGGTATTTGTTACAGCAGACAGAATGAACTAAGATAACATTAAATACGGCCTTAACCAAACGTCACAGAAAAGCTCTAAGGGAAAGATGAGGACAAGAATAAGAGTCAGGTGTAATAGGTACACCTATAATTCCAGCACACAGGAGGCAGAGGCACAGGCAGATCTCTGTGAGCTTGAGGGCACCTTGGTCTGCATAGTGAGTTCTGGGCCAGCCAGAGATATTCAGTAAATCCTTGTCTCAAGAATAAGAGGAAGGAAGAAGGAAGGAGGAGGATGAGAGGTGTCTCAGTGAGTAAAAGCACTTGCTGTGAAAACAAGAGGACCTGAATTCAAATTCTCATCATCCACGTAAAAGCCAAGCATAGCTCCAATGTTGGGGAGCAGAGACAGGCAACTCCCAGGTCTTTGCTGGCAAGCCAGCCTAGCCAAAATAGCTAGATTCAAGTTTGGTAAGAAACTTTGCCTACAAATGGATGGATGGATAGATAGACAGACAGACAGACAGACAGACAGACAGACAGACAGATGCATAATGAGAAGAACAATAGAGAAAGACATTGAACATGGCTTACACACAGACACTTTTTTTTTGGTTTTTTGAGACAGGGTTTCTCTGTATTGTTTGGAGGCTGTCCTGGAACTCTCTCTGTAGACCAGGCTGGCCTCGAACTCACAGAGATCAGCCTGCCTCTGCCTCCTGAGTGCTGGGATTAAAGGCGGGCACCACCAATGCCCAGCAGACACATTTATTATTACAAGTAAATAATTTTTTAAAAAATAAGTAAATGGGCTAAGAGCAATCTTAGTAGAAAAATCAGGGATTCAGCATCATCCTTAGCTGTGTAATGAGTTTGAGGCCAACCTGGCCTACATGAGACTCCCTATTAAAAAAAAGTAAATGTATTTGATTGGACAGGAAGTGATCCTACAAAAGAGCTTCAGCTGAGACCAAAAGATGTCTCATCAGGAAAAGGTGCTTGGCACACAGCGTGGCAACCAGAGTACAATCTCCAGACGTGCTTGCTCACATATAATGACTACATAATGAAAATAAATAAGCTTAAAGCAATAAGTAACACAACATCAAAATT